TATATATATATATATATATATATATATATATATATATATGCCTCATTGCTTGAAATATCCCTAGTTTATCTGCGCTCTCTTTATAATTAATTCCTTTATTTTTTTAGTTTCCTTTTGATTCATTTTGGCATGATCAGGATATTTTCAACAGCAGCTTCTCTCATTCTCAGAAGGATATATGCTCCAGAAATAGGGTTGCCTAAGTCTAATTCACAGGTATATCACTTCCTAACTGCACAACTTTGAGTAAGGTATTTAGCCTTGTTAAGTCTTAGTTATTAATTCTTAACCCATATAGTAGTTGTTGTAATTAAATGAAATCATGTATGTTAATTACCTAGAACATTATAAGTAGTCAGTAAAAAGTTAGCTATTCTTATTATTAATACTCATGAAAATTTTCTGAGACTTTTTTAATATTTAATTTTTTTAGTTATAGCTGGACACAATACCTTTGTTTTTATTTATTTATTTTTATGTGATGCTGAGTATTGAACCTAGGGCCTCGCACGCACTAAGCGAGTGCTCTACCGCTGAGCCACAACCCCAGGCCAGAGACTTTTTTTTTTTTTTAAGAGAAAGTGAGAGAGAGAGGGGGAGAGAGAGAGAGAATTTTTTAATATTTATTTTTTAGTTATCGGCGGACATAACATCTTTCTTTGTATGTGGTGCTGAGGATCGAACCCGGGCCGCACGCATGCCAAGTGAGCGCGCTACCGCTTGAGCCACATCCCCAGCCCCAGAGACTTTTTTTTTTTTAGTAGTGCCACAGATTGAACCCAGGGCCTCACACATGCTAGACAAGTGCTTTACCACAGAGCTATACTCACAGCCATGAAATTGGCTTATATGACCAGTTCCTAAGTAAACTGTCAGTTATCTGAAACTAAGTCTGTTTCTTATACATCTTTGTATCACAGGCACTTAGCACTCACCCTGACATATGGTAGATTCTCAATAAATGTTTCTTGAATAAATAATTGAAAAAATATCAAGTGATTTGGAAGAGGTTGTGGTTACTGTCTATGATGTCAGCTTAAATGTAACATATTCCAAACACTCATAGCTTCCCTATGTAATCCATAGTATTCACACATTTCTCATATCTAATTAGAATTTTTGAAATTCTGATGAACATGGCATTAATTAAATGAAAATTGTACTTTTTTTTCCAGTTCTGGGGATTGAACTCAGGGCTCTTCCCACACTAGCCAAATGCTCTATCATTGAGCCACATCCCCAGCCCTGTACTCTACTTTTTGAAGACAGAAACAAATCAAAAGAAAGGTTGATATTTTAGACTAGTTTTGAAAATAGTAGTGAGAATATATC